CTTTATAGATTGAAGGTCCTAAACCAACTGAAAACTAAAATAAAACACATTTTTCTGATTCTGCATGTTCAGCAGTAATCCCCCCAGTTGGAAACCTCACCATCTGCAGCTACGCTCCAGCCTGGAGTCCTCAGACCTGTCCATTTCTCATCCACCAGCTCTCGAGAAGATGATTTACAAAGCCAGTATTCCTTAAGCAGACGCAGCAGAAATAGTTTTGCCTTTCCTAGCCCGACTGCGACTGTTAGTCGGGTCCTGGCTCCCAGTCCAGCCTGCATCGCATCCGGCAGCTCCCTGCAGCGCCTGGGCAGGCGCTGGCCTCTGGGTGCACGGGTGTGGGTCCCTGCGGCCGCTGACCAGGAACCTGGCCCTCCACCAGTAAATGAGACTTCAAGTGCTTGGGCACCGGTTGTGCCCGTTCATCTGGGATAAACACGCATTGTAGGGCAGGCTTTTTTCTGTTCCGTTTCTAACTCTGGCATGTGAAATGCAGCCCGTCCCCGGTCCAGGCCCGCACGCAGTGGTGCGGGAGGTGTTCCTGAGCAACACCCTCCCTGCAGGCTGACGCATTGGTGAAGTGGGATGTCAGGAAGAGGGTGATCGAGTCTAGGTGGTAGCTTTGGCCTGGCTGCTGGAATAGCTTCCTAAATGTATTCCTGGAGTGGTGTTGGTGAGTGCCAAGCGATAAAATAGGCCCCTGGAGAGGCAGCGGGGCTGTGGGCTCTGCTTGCCTAATTGCATTTGAGCACAGCTTCTGACAAGTGCATCTTTCTTTTTCTCGGTGAAGACTGACACGTTTCCATTAGCTCGCTGGGCTGTGGCCTCCATTGTGGGGCACTTTTCTACCTGAGGAAGGAAGAATTGCAGTATTTGGAAACTTTGGGAAGGGAGGAGGCTGGAAGCAGGTGGATTTACTGCCTACAGCTACAGCCCCTGGCCCGCCCTTGAAGCGACAGTTCCCTGTGCCACAATGTACTTGTGTGTCCCCGCTCCAAGCTCAAATACAGCTGAGGCCATGGCACTTGCAGCCAGCAGCTAATTTACTAAGCCAAGATGCAACTGATGGCTTCTGATATGATTTTGCAGTATTAATGAAAAGGCATACAATGTACGGCTACCCCAGCCCCTGTTCTCACAGCTCATTCGCAATGTTGTCTTCCTAAAGGCAAACAGAGCAAACTGAGTGAATCACAAGAGGATTATCCATACCTATCTGTGCAGCATTAGTATTTCTGGGATCTTATATTTAGCATCGTCCAGTATTCGTCCTTTTACACCCTGGAGCCCCCAGCCCCTTTCCTCTGATAGCTCAGAGTGTTTCAACATTTGAATGAGCCCTCCAGCAGGCACAGCCTCAGTTTAATATTTAATGACCAAGCCAGCCACATTTGGAAATTCCAGTCCCTAAGCTCTTAAGATGCAGAGCTCTTAGCTGAAAATCTGGATATCAAAATTAGAACTACCCCTCCTGGGCTTTGAATATTTACCCCAAATTCAGAACACCTCAAAAACTTCCACAGGGGTGTCCAGCCTGCCCAGCGTGGCGCACCCATGGCTTGTGCTCCAAACCCAGCAAGGGAGGAAATACAAAGACCACAGGAACACTCAAGGGAAAAGCAGGAGCAGAATCATAAAAACAGGCTACAGAACATGAATAAAAACCAGCTGCCAGCGCTGTACGAACCAACAAACAAGGTGATCCTTTTCCTACTGCCACCCGGCACACGCTGAAGCTCGCCGCGCACTCCCTTCGGAAAGCCCTGACTCCACTCGCCCTCCCCGCATGAAGAACGACAAATCCACCTCCAAAGACTTGAGCAAGGACAAGTGAGCAAGAGAAAAAAAATGATGACAGAGAGTGGCAGTTGATATCAAGGCCATATGCACACTGGCTTGGGGTGGGGGGGGCCCCCGCCAGCCCTGCTGCATCCTGCTGCTGGCAGTCGCTTCGCACTCGTTAGCAGTCGGCAATTTGAGCATTGCTTTGCCTTCGGTTGAGCAGAGGGATGAGCTGCTTTTCAAAACAGCTCAGGTTCTCTGCTGCACTACGGGTGCTCCTCGCAACACACAACCACGCCTCACATGTCAGAGAATCATTACAGCCTGGTGGCATTCCCAGAATTTTCCAGAAAGTGCAAAAGCCCAAGGAACTCACCATGCAAATCCCAGCAGCCCTTCACACTCCTAGCAGCCTCGGAGGACTCGGTCGGTCGGGGAGATGAGCCCAGGGAGCACAGAGGTAATGCGAGAGCATCCCTTGCGCCATTTCCTCAACCGCAGACGAGGCTTCAGGCAGGTGACGGCTTGCATCCTCCCGCTGCGCTCCTCACCGCATAATGCTTAAAAATAACAAGTATGTGGCCACGTCTGAATTTACTACATCATCTCTCTGTTACCGATCTACCCAATTTCCTTCGGAAATCTACCCACTAGTCCCACCCTAAAAGAAATCTTATTTCTCTGTACCAATCCTTCACATTTTAGCTGGCAAGCTATACAAACCCCTCCTGCGCCAGGAGCTGCACAGAGCAGCTGCTCCGTGCACTTTTGCCCTCATTAAGTATCACCCTTTTGATGCTTCAGGGCAGCAGTAAACACTATTACTGAGCGGCATTGTGTAGGACTGGCTTCATCGCTGAGGGCTGGGTTACTTTTATACTTTTGTCACCGAACTACTGGAGTGAAGATTAATCAACGGAGTAATTGCAGAACTCTGAAATGTGTCTGGCTAGCCTCTCTTGTGGGCTTCACAGTCACGCAGCAAATCCAGCAGAGTCCCTCTGCGAGACCTACCGACACAATGTCACAAAGGAAAAGCCATTAGTGAGCAATTACGTTTCAGCGGGATTTTCCCTCTCCGCCACAGCCTAATGAGGATAACCAATTCAAGAGGAACTGCTGCAAGGATGAATGAATAACGAGAGAAAGAGGATGGGAGTTCCTGTAATCCGGACAGAATAAGAAACAACCCCGTGAAGAAAAAGAAAAACATATGCTGGAGCTCTGCTCCAAGCAACAGACAGATGTGGACGTTTGCTCGCAGTTACAGGAGGCACCAACTAGTTTCAAAAGCATCACAGAGGCGCGGGGCCAAGACAACAGCCGCTACAGACGGTGTACACGCACATGATCCCTTCACTCCAGAAGTTAATGCAATTTTTGGAAAAGACTTCTGACTATCGACAGCAGGTCACCGCAACAGAACACCTTACTTACAAAAGGATTAGCACCTCTGTATCACCCACTAGTTCCTGGCATGCTGTGTACCATTAAAAAAAAAAAAAAAATAATGCTTCCTTGAAATAAGAACTTCCTAGAAATGAAGTTTACCTGAGCAGCTTATTTTTTGTTTAACCTAGGAGCTCCACTAAAATTAGGATATCTTTTCTTTACAGTAATAAAAATGCAAGTGGAAAAAAATCTATATAAATGCTACCTTCTATTTAATGGGAGAGCGCAACTCCACAGATTCTGCCATTTGAAGAACTACTTGCCACCATGGCCCTCCTTTGACCGCAGTGCCGGCGATGGAGAGCTCTGCTGCTGGCGTTAGCTCTTACAGCACAACTTGCTCCCCCTGCTATAGGGCACCAATTGGCAAGGTAACACAACTCGGTGCAAGGCATTTCTTCCCTAAACGGAGAAATACCCAATTACACTTACCTGCAAAGGACAGACCTGTCTGAAACTGTTAGCATTGCAGTAAAAACCTGCCAAAGAAAGGATCAGCAGGCAGCACGCAGGTATTCAAAGGCCCAGCGCTTTTTTTTTTGTGTCTCGCTGCTGCTGCAACAGCACAGACCTCGTCTGCTCACAGGGAGATTCGCTCTGCCCAAGCAGAGCTGGGGAGCCCCGAGCTCGCCCCCAGCCCTGCAGCTCGCTCGGCACTCACCGACTGCGCTGGCATCGCGGCTGCAAGGGGCAGCGACCTCTTCCCACGGCATCCACCTTCCTCCTTTAACTGGGACTTAGCATGTCGCAGTCGCAGCCGTGGAACAGAGCCATCAGTGCTTCTTTGTATCTGTCTCTACAGCGTACATATAACCTTTTCTTGCTAATTATGCAAGAAAAAGAAAAGTTTTTCCTATTGCTTGTGGGAAGCGTCTGGCTGGTTGAGCATGACTTGGTATCTTTCAGCCACTGTGGTGAAAAGTAGGGTTGGATTAGAGACTCGTCCAGGTGATAGACTTCCAGCAGTGGACTAGTAACCTCAGTTTAATCTTTTGTTTAATTCAGAAAAAAAAAAAAGTTAACATAAATCAAAGGCTTTTGGGTCAAGGACTGATAAAACAAGGAAGTTATGACATCAAAACATTATTCAACATTATTTCCCTTTAAAAGAGCACTGAAAAAAATCAAGGCTTTATTTGAATAAATGTTACACAACATTCTTTATCATTTACTTCTCAGCAAACCTTAAAGGGTGAATCATATTTTCCTCATTCAAGTCTACAAAATGAAAGAGGCATAGTGACCATACAGACAAGAAGGTAGCACGGAGCAAAGCTTAAATATTAAGCAACTAAAGCAAAAAAGTGAAAAGCAATACATTACTGTAATTCTCTATCATTAGAATATCCCTGACAATTTCATTTCAGAATGAAAATCTGGTTTCAAACAAGATGGCTGCAATACTTTCTGTGAAAACAAACGCAAATACAGTTAGCTACCTTGTCTATTTTTATGCTATTTGCTTATATACCCATATTCTCCAATGCAGAGACCTGCATCTCTCTTAAGTGTATTCTTTTTTTATATTTCAGCTGCTGTGCACAAGTGCTCACGAAGGTGAGGAACTAAGAGCACTGGTTAAGAGTCAGATGTCACACAGGCAGGCACTACTGGCTTCTACTTACAACATCAATCAGTTTTCAATCCAATGTGCAATAACCCTGCTATTACAGTCCTGGGCCTTTTTCCTGAGCAGAAACTGTTTTGTGCCATGTTGTTTGGTGGCTTCTTTTTTGTTTGGGTTTTGTTTTTTTTTCTTTGTGTGTGTGTGTGTGTGTGTGTGTGTATAAAAATGCAATTTATTAGGCCAAGACCCTCATTCATTGTCAGTACAATCGGGGTTTGGTCTCTGGAGGTGAAAGGCTAGCACATACATGACATCAAATCTCTTCCCCTTTCCTCAGATCGGATGTCTTAATTTTTCTATTTGTAGTCAAATCTCAGGCCACAAACAGAACCAGACTGCTGATCCTCTTCGACTGGTGAAAAGGAAAAGCGCTGTAGAAGAAACATTAATCTCAAATTAAAAAAAAAATTTGAAAAATGGTACAATTTGAACCTACTGTCCAGCATTATATAGCTATTTTTTTTAAGAAGTAGGCAGGAAATATTCGATTTCTGGCTCTATACTCAGAATTTACCTCTGAAAAATAGAAACTGAACCAGCACGAAGCACGAACTGCCTCAGCATGTGCGTATGTTTAATGGCAGTGTTACGTTAATGGTTGGACTTAATGATCTTAAAGTTTTTTTCCAACCTAAATGATTCTATGATCCTGTGACCGATACGCCTACCCTGGATTTGGATGCCTGTCCCAGCCTCTTGCTTCCCCTCCTCTCCGATTGTTTAACAAACATAAACCTGGTGCCAATATCAAAGCCAAACGACAGTTGTCCTAACCTCAAATTCTATGTGATTAATTCAGGCTCCGTACACGAAGGCTGTGAAACTGCCTTTGTGCTGATACAGATGCCTCTCAGAAAGGTATCTCTGTTTTTAAATGACCTAAGCAAAGACACCCTATTTTCTCCAATCGAACCGTGAGATGAGTAAGGAGGAAAAGAGTTTACTACAAGTCTTTTCACATCTATAGAAACAAAAATTTGACTTTTAGTAGATTCTGTGCACATTTGCATTTCTTCAAAACAATTTTTTTTTCCCAGGTTATGTAATAAGTCCCCTGCTAATAACTTTGTAAGAAATGATACTGTTGAGAAAGTGTGCACACAATGTCAAATAATTAGTGACAAATAAATTAATATTTAATAACTCAATATTTCAGCAGCGTGTCCAGCATTCACAAGCTCCACTGAAATAAGTCTTACCAAACACCTTTAGGGGAGGGGAATAAAACATATAAAACCCACTGGGTTTCTTTTTTTGATTTACAGCTATTCAAAGAAGTCAATGCAACTCAGACCAACAACCATCAGAAACGCTAATAAAACCTTTGCTCTACTAGTTGCCTAGCTGAAAAATATTTGTGTCAAAAGGAAAAATTAACCCATGATTTGAAATAGAAACACCATTCCATTTATCACTCTCCATTCATGATTCCCATCTTGTTACAGTATTATAAGCAAAATGCTGCTCTCTGCGTTGTAGCCCTTCTTAATGTTATTCCACAATCCTCAATTCCCTAAGTGTTACAATAGCATAAATAAAATGCAACCATATTCACACAGAAGGAGCTTTCCCATAATACAGAGATACATGGAGTTTGTGGTCACTGTCCTTTCCATCACCTCTATGGGAAATATTGGTCTCATATAGCAGGACTGTTCATATTTTACAATACAATTGGTTTTGGACATGCTTTTGATCACAGATCACAGCTCTGCTAACACCTGCACTAAATACTAACTAAGCCTCATAGAATGGAAAATTGCAATGCTAAAGTTAAGAATTAAAATAAAAGTTCAAAAGTTACAGTCAGCTTCCCAGGCAATTGGCTCCATCACTGGCACCTATCAAAACATACAAACGTGACTGTCACATTACAAAAAACCCCAGTTATTTGCAGTGATTCTTCATACTAATAATTCAAGTGGTTCCTTGCATGTAAGTGTCATATAGTCTTTAATAATTTCATGCGTCATTTATTGCAAAAAAGTTTTATAAAATATTTCCTAACATCTTTTTAAATTTTAAAGAAAATGTACATTAGGTACAGATGCCCTAACAGGGTGCGAGGGGGAGCTTTAACATATTTACCCCCTTTCCCCTTCAAAAAATGTTTACTACTTGGTGAAGATATCAGAGGAAAAATAGGACAATTCAGTCTCAGATTTCTTTCAGTCCTGATGAGCTGGCGCTCTTCGTGGCAGTGTAGTGAGGTTCCATAAAAACAGCAGTTGACTAGTGTCTCTGAGCTGAAAAGGGGAGAGAAAGGGAAAATGGTTAAATGCCTTCCAGTATATATTGCAAAAGTAGGTAAGCAAAATCTGAGGTGGCCAGAAAAGTTACCAGTTCACCTGCTTTGTGCATTGTGGGCAGAAGACAAAAAAAAATAGTTACATTATCACAAGACATACACAAGTGAACAAACTCCTCAGTTGACTGGAGTTCTAAGAGAAGCTACCGTACCAATCCATGTTATATCTCACCCCATTTCAGCATCCAGAGAGGATTTCAATTTTTGAAGACATTTAAAGAGTGCTAACAAAGGAGGGAGATGAATACACAAAGCCTATACCATGATGTGTAGTTCACAATACAAAGCTAAATCTGACCCTGTAATGCTGTTCCAAATGCAAGACCTCAACTGCGCACGGGAGCACTGAAGTAGAAAGCTGCTAATCACGTTTCTTTTCCATTACTGCTTATGGTTTCCCATTTGCTCCACAGAACTGGAATAAAACGATGATGAAGCAGATACAGAAGCAGTCCAAGTAACAACAACTGCGTGAGACCACCGCCAGTCAGTAACTGTTTAGGGCAGAGCAGAATGAGTCCAGGCTGCACTGACCCACGTAGTGTTCTAGAATAACCTAAACTGGGGGAGACCTCTGGAGATCGTCTGCTCCAACCCCTTAGCTCAAAAACCACACAGGAGAACAAAAAAGGTTCCACCAGGACCAGGCCAGTCTTGTCGATTCCCTTCACCATTCTGTTGAGCTTTTGACTGCTAGGATTATTTGAGAGGTACGTATACATTTTCCAGTACTGACAACAGCTTTGTGAATAACACAACTGAATTTAAAAAGGGAGATTCATAGCACAGGCAGGAAAACTCTAAAGTTCTCTCTAAACAGACAACTCTTCTGAATAATATCCAAAAGAAATATAAAAAAAAATTAGTAGGCATTTGTGAGACCAGTCCTACCACAAGGGGAGGCAAGGAAGACAAAGGGGAGAACTATGGAGTTTCTCAGTTGCTCACTGTACCACAAAAGGACAACATAAAACACAGAACAATAATTCATTTTATATCCTATACAATGCAGTAGAATTAAAATAAGAATGAAACTTTGGGGGAGTTGAAACAGAAGCAATGAGGACTAATTATGAAATGTAACAGATGCAGGCAAAGATGCACTGAGCTGCTATATGCTGACTAGCAGGCATTCATTCCAATACCCAACAGGTCCTCATCTGAGTATGATACTCAGAATTGATACACAAATAAACTTGTTTTAGCTATGGTCCACTCCAACATGCATGAGATAAACCTGCAGAGCCTCTACGAAGAGAAGGATGCTAGACAAAGTTCCACTGTATTCAACAGCACTTACTGTTGGTGCAGGTAACTAAACACCACAGTATTCCAGGCTGCAAAACAACCGATATTGGGCATTAAAGCATATGACCAATAAGAAATTCTCCAAAATAAGATTAATATGATATTAGCATCATGTATCCGTTGAATTAAAGAGAAGCTTTTATAGTACGTCAGAGAACCAGACTCTACTCAGAAATATCAAAAATCCCATGAAAGGTTGGATGACATTTCAGCCAGTATGTCCAAACGCCCGCACTTCCAAATTCAAGCCCCAGTGACACTACTGCTAGCCAGCAAACTTCTGATCTATGAAGGAATAAACAAGACAAGAATTCGATTCAGTGATCTGAGCATGCATACAACTACCACCAGGTCTAAGGAAAAGGCCAGATCACTTTAAAACGGGTGTTCCCTCATTCAGATGGCAGGCAGTTTTACTTTTCACACCCACCTACCAGCTTAGCAATCCATGCAGTTGCAGCAATTTTCAGAATCAGTACTTGGCAAAGTCTGTTTGTTACAAACCTGGCACTCGTGTCCCTGCCCAAGTCGGTTCCTACAGCGCTCTTCCACTCTTCGACTCTTACCATTGAGGGATTCCAGAACACCCTTACAGCGAGTGCCAGGGGCTTCGCTTCTCCCACTGACCGTTACATGCCATCCCTCGTGAGCCCAGAAACATTACTGTCTTATCCTCTATTATAGTCCAGTCTTGTGTTTTACCATCAGCAAATCTCAGTTTATAAAAACTGAAACCAATGCGTATCAAATATCTAAGCCCAGACCTAATACAACAGTACAGCACTGAATCAAACTTTTTAATGTTAAGTAAGAATCATTACTTCTTCATGTAAATCAAGCTCCCTTTACAGCAACTGTATGTTCTCCTCACCACCTATTTCCTCAAAAAAAGATATGAGACACATGTATATATCCATGACAGGTCTAAGTAGTTAATACATATTTGGGTTAGAATTCCCAGTAATGTTCAGTATCTGCTTGCCTTTAAACATGTGCTTTAAATTTCCTTACAGAGTTAGGCACGCAGTGAAAGTTAAGCATGCTTGTGAAGTGTTACGCCCTCAGATCAGGTCTTTGGAAAAGAAGAAAAAAAAAAAAAAAAAAAACCAGAAAAAAGGAAAAGAAAAGCAAACAAGAAAACAAAGTTCATTCTTCCTAGAAGAGTGGCTCCCTAACTCTGGTCCATGAGTCATCTGCGAGGTCCTCACCGAGATCTTCCTGCTCATGTTTTCAATTCTTTTCCTTGTTTTAGGCACTGAACTTCTTTAAAAAGACTAAAACGTTGACACATTCTTTCCTGATTTTACTTTTACACATCAGCAAAGCCAGGAAGCTGTGCCTACAATCACAAGCAGCAGATGAGGTAGGTAGATCCTACTAAGATGTGATCCACAGAGCAAAAATGTCTGAGGATTGCTGGTTTAGGAGACCAAAATCTTTATTTATTTCTCTACCTTTACATTATACCTGTCAAGTCATTTAATCTGATCATGTAAAGCAAACTTCAAGAAGCAAGCCTAATGAGAAACTTAGTGGGAATCTTTTCAATAAAATACATATCAATCCTGACATCAGGTTAGCTTGGGGAGAACAGCTGTATCTGAAGTGTTCAAATAGAAGTGGGAAATAAAAGAAGAGGTAGCTCATCACCTCTGGCCTAACCTGCTTTGCATAAGATTAGTTGATAGCATAGTGCACCCTTCACTTAAGGCAGGGCTTAAACCAGACAGACCTGCCAATCTCACTGACAACTTCAGTGCCCCCAGTCTGAATCCACAGTGGTCTGTCAGCCTGATGTAAAATGGTGCCATTTGGTGAGACCTATGGTAGGAAAAAATCCAGTTAATAGGAGCAAGGAATTGATGATGGTTTAAAAAAGAAAACAATTCACCTCCTCGCCTGCCTGAATTCTGACCGGGTGTACTACTTTTGCTTTCCAGACAACAGCATACCATGAAAAGATGCTAAAAACTCACAGAAAAATCAGATACCAGCTTTTTTGAGCTTACACCAGACTTTACCAGCAGAGTTAAAGGGAAATTACACATCATTTAGCAAACAAACTAGCAGACAGCAAAACAAAGCATCTACCTATACAAGCACCTATGCAAACGTCGTACTGCCCGCTGAAGAACTTGCTGCTCAAAGCCAGAGCGACAGTATGAAATTTTGCTGGACAAAGTAGCTACCTAAAATAAGTGGAACAGAAGCAATGGATTATAATTCATGGGGCCCATGACCTGTCTGTCTTTTAGAGTAAAAAAGGCAAACTTAGAGCACTATCTATTCAATACTGATAGCGTTTTGTAGCCGTTGTGCAATGCAGCCTGTGATAAACCAGAGTTTCTCGTGTACTGAAAAATGCAAGCAAGCCTGACAGCAAGGCAGACGACTTGCCGTTGCAGTGATACAACTGGTAGCCAAAAATCGGTTAATCATGACTTTCTTCCATGTCTTAACTCTGTCCTGCATTCTAAAATGTGCAAACCACCGGCTGTTCCTCCCCTTTTTAGGACATGACTCAGATGAGATGCCAGTTTTCCCCTCCAGGTAAAAACCTTAAAAATGAGATTGTGCCTTCTTTTGGCTTTGTATCTTCACACAAAACTGTGCGGGCACCACACTACATTCGTTATGGTCAAACTACCAATAATTTCTTTATTATAGTAATTAAATTTGCTTAAAGAGAAGCAGATGACTCAGTGTTGCGGAGTATATTGGGCTTTCTTTGTATTTTGCTTCTCATTCTTTATTACAAGTATTATAAAAACTGCTCCCACTTGGTCACTCACACAGTCTTTAAACTGAAATTCAAAGCCTTCTTGCCAGTAGCATTATAACCTCTGTTGAAGTGATTATAGGATGGAAGAAATCTGAGACAACAGAAGGTGAAAGAGCAAACAGACCAGTGGCTCTTGTGGATGTTATGTATTGGAGGCAAAAATCCAGGAAAAAGTAGATTAAAAATATAGGTTTATTAATTTCAAGAGTGTTTCTAACTATTGCAGAATCTCACTGTTCCAATACATAGTAACCATACACTTGTTACCTGCTTGTTTGCCAAAATTAATGAATATGAAATATTTTCTGTGGCAATGTTTGCACTGTCACAGTGAAGTTGCCTTCATAGTGCTGCATGTGGGTTTAGCCCAGAGCAATGAGGAATAACCTTGGGCTGGATTGCTTTAAGGTATGAAAACTGAGTAGGGGATGCCTGATCTGCCCAGTTAAAATACAATCGGTTTTACATTGTTTTACTTGGATCAATAGCAGCGTTTTGTATAGAAAAGGTTTAAGGCAGGAGTGTACAAGATTAGGCTCCTCAGATACAGTGACTAAAAAGTAAAGCCACACATGTGCAGTCTCATATTTTACTCCCCTGGTATTGTGGCGGAATGTTTCTTACCCTGCGGATTTCCCTGGTGTGAACCCTGTGGAGCAGGGACCGGCGACCCGGAGAACAAAAGGTACAAAGAGCAGAGTTGCCACAAAGGATGCAGTGTCCCTGGGTCCGCACAGACAGCGCTTTGACACTCGCAAGCCGCCAGCGCCGGCTCAGTATCTGTGTCATTAAATTCCCTGACCCTCGTGAGTGCAGCAAGTCGCCTGTTTTATCAATCATTCAGCGAG